GTGGGGTTGGTGTGGTTGTGTTAGGATCGCAGGCCAGTGGGCTTTGCCTAGACAGGTGTAGCAGAGGCAAAGCCTGCAGTCCGTCCATTCCTCAGCACCATGAATATGGCCCCTATCCTGGGGGCATGTGAGAGAGCCTGGCCTCCCTTGTTGGTGGATCTGTGGTAGCTAGTGCAAGAGTGCTCAGGAGTCCAAGGCCCTTGGGCATCCTTATGTGCCTGAGTGGCAACTCTGCCCACCCGGAAAACTCCAGGCAGCCTGTGTCAGTCTGGAGGCCTTGGGAATAGAGGGTCTGTGGGGGGTCTCCTGTGTCCAGGATTGCAAAGGTTCATGGCATAAGTGTGAGCCTCTGGGGGCTTTTGCTGACTTACCATTTCCCTGTGGTGGGGAACCCCCCTTGTCTTCCTGCCAGTCCTGGGTGGGCAGCTGTCCTGTCTTGCACTTCTCTGCTCTCTGTGCGTCATGGTGCTCCCTTGATGAATTCCAACATGTCTTCCTGGATGATTCAGTGGAAGAGCTTGTGTTTACTGGCTAACTGTGTATCTTCTCCTTGAGAGCAGCATACACTGGCTGCTTCTAATCAGCCATCTTCATACCTCCCCAAACAAAAATTCTTAATAACAAGAGCTAACCAAATACAAAATCAGTAGAAGAAAAGAAATAATGATCAGAGCAGAAATAAATGAAATTGAAATGAAGAAAATAATACAAAAGATCAATGAAACAAAAAGTTGGTTGTTTTAAAAGATGAAATTTACAAACCTTTAGCTAGACTAACAAAACAAAAGAGAGAAAACACCCAAATAAATAAAATAATAGATGAAAAAGACATTCAGCTAATACTGCAAAAATTCAAAGGATCATTAGTGGCTACTATGATCAACTGTATGCCAATAAATTGGAAAATCTAGAAGAAATGGATAAATTCCCAGACACACGCAACCTACCAACATTGAACCATGAAGAAATCCAAAATCTGAGCAGGCAAATAACAGTGAGATGGAAGACGTAGTAAAAATCTCCCCAGAAGGAGAAGCCTGGGACTTGATGGCTTCACTGCTGGATTTTACCAAATATTTAAAGAAGAAATACCAGTTCTACTGAAACTCTTCTGACAAATAGAGAAGAGGGGAATACTTCCAAACTCATTCTACAAGGCTAATATTACCCTGATATTAAAACACATCAAACAAGAAAACTATAGACCAGTATCCCTGATGAATATTGATGCAAAAATCTTCAAAAATACCAGCAAACCAAATTCCAAAACACATTAAAAAGATCATTCATGATGACCAAGTAGGATTTATCCCAGAGATGCAAGGACGGTTCAGCATATACAAATCAGTCAGTGTGCTACATCATATCAACAGAATGAAGGATCAAAATCGTATAATCATTTCAATTGATGCTGAAAAAGCATTTGATAAAATTCAACATCAGTTCATGATAAAAAACCTTCAAAAAACTTGCTATCACAGGAAGCTCACCCTGCATTTTTCCCTGGAGGAATGGTTCAGTATTCTGTAAATCAGTATTCACAGCTACTTTATAGAATATAACTGCTGGAAATAACAAGAATCAGCTCTATTTTTATTGCAGGAACAGTTGGAGAGGGTGAGTCTTATGGGTAAGTTACCTCATACTCATCTTTTAGCCCTGCTGTTTGTAAATTTCCATGTGAGAGAATTCTGTTTTAGGACCTGTTATCTTTTGTAGAGAGCCAGTTTTCTATCTCTCATTGATTTTAAATAAGTTGTAATTTTGACTTGAGTTATTATTTTGAGTTAAAAATAGTTTTAAGTCAAGGTCTTTCCTCTTGTGAAAACTCGATTATCTCTGCTCAATTTTAATGCTGTTTGATTAATGACAGCCTCATGAGGCTGTAAGTTTTTTAATAGCACCCCAAACTCTGATAACTTTTTGAATATCTTATTTGGTTTTCTAAATTGGAGGCTGGCACATTTTTTTTTGTAAATGGCCTCATGGTAAATGTTTTAGGCTTTGCAGGATGCATGAGATCTCTTGTCACATATTCTTGTTTTTACATATCTTTAAATATGTTTTTTAAAAACATTTTTAGCTTAGCGTCCAGGCCAGATTTAGCCCAGAATTGTAGCTTGCCAATCTTCGTTCAAACATTTTCAATGTGCTGTACCATTAGCTTTCCCTCTTTAAGACAGTGACATGTACTTCACCAGTATAACAGACTTGCAGATGCCCTAGTGTGCCAGTCTTCCTGATTTCTTTTGACAAAATTTGCGACCTTTTTTATTTGGAGGTAATAAATATGTTGAATAGATTTTATTGTTCTCACTGTTCTCACTAGAGCCTGATTAGCATGAAATACATGTGAAAAGAAAAATAAGGAATAAGCACGGCCACTTAATTTTTTTATTCAGCAAACAGAAGGAATGGGAAACTAAACTTAATTGCCTATGTACCAAATGTAAGCCGTTTTAATATAACTCCTTATTTAATCCTTGTGATAATCAACAGGATGGCATACACATTTTTTCAGATATTTAACCTAATAGTACTTAGTTAACCTAATTAAGAAATCACTGTCCACTGGAAATTTCTGCAATGATGAACTTGTTTTATATCTGTGGTCTACATTATGGCTATTGAGCACTTGAAATGAGACTAATGCAACTGAAGTTTTTATTTATTAATAATTTTAATTTCAATTTAAATGACCACATGTGGCTAGTAGTTACCATACTGGGCAGCATAACTTGAAGAACTTCAATAATTTGTTCAAGTTTAGACAGTAAGTTCTGTTTAACTCCTAAGCTTATATATATATATATAATATATATATAAAATTTTTTTTTTTTTGAGACAGAGTTTTGCTCTTGTTGCTCAGGCTGGAGTGCAATGGTGCTATTTCGGCTCACTGTAACTTCTGCCTCCTGGGTTCAAGCGATTCTCCTGCCTCAGCCTCCCAAGTAGCTGGGATTACAGGCATGCACCACCATACTCAGCTAATTTTGTATTTTTAGTAGAGACAAGGTATCACCATGTTGGTCATGCTGGTCTCAAACTCCTGACCTCAGGTGATCCACCAGCCTCGGCCTCTCAAAGTGCTGGGATTACAGGCATGAGCCACCACTCCCGACCCTAAGCTCATACTTTTTTTCGGTTGTGCCATACTGCCTCCTCAATAAAAGTCAAGGAATCTATGAAGACAGTAGGAAAGAATGGTAACTGTAAGGTAACTTATTACCTTACAGAGTAAAAAATGTGGAGAAAGTACTTAGGCAATGTTCAAGGTATATTAACTTTTAGGCTATGAGCTCAATGAGTAAATCCATAATCTGGAATACTAACTAGATCATAATTATCAAGCAATACCTATGAAATTATTTTATAGTCTACATATTATTATTGCATTATATGAAGTAACGTGAGTATACTCTGTGATCATTAGTGTGTTGAAAAAATTCAGATATTAACATACTTTGAAAGTATTTGTCTTATATCCAGGGAGTAGTCTCTTAGGAAGAAGTAAAGTCTAGTCAGGTATTTCAAAAAAAGCTTTTAAATGTTATAAAATTTTACATCCTTCCTGTAGTATAGAGCTTTTATTAACAAAATTTCCCTGGTTCATGGGGACCATACTTGCATCAGTTTTAATATACATTTAAATTATACCTGACATAAGTATGGTGTGGAAATCTTGTTATTTCATTAATGAATACCAACTGGGTATAAGAAGTAAAAAAAGTGATGTCTTTAAGGGAAGCATGCATAGATAAATAATTCTGTGATACTGTTTCCTGTACTAGAAGGAGGCATGGGGGAGAAGAATAAACAAAACTTATCTTCTTAGTGTTGACTCTTAATTTTACCCTGTATTTTTACAGCCCCAATCTAAATCAGAGTCCTGCCCAGTTTAAACAGGAAATTACTTAACTGATTGATGCCTGAGTAGCTTCCCTTGCTCTTCTCAGAAAATATTAAAAACAGTGTCAGAAATGAAGTATAGGCACTATCACTGTCATTGGAGAACATTTAGAATCCTTTAGCCAATGATTCTTCCAGGTGTTGCACAGTTTTATTTGTGTGTAAAACAAGGAGACCGCTTCCCTCATGATGTCCTTTGTCAAAATTCAGGAAGCTTCTTTCCCATCTAAAGAATCAGAGTGTTAAAATATTTGTACCTTGGAAAGCTTTACACTTGGCCTTGCTGAATGGATAATCTTTCGAAATTATTTTGGTACCTGAATAACACTAGAACACTTTATTCTTAGAGTCAGTACTTTTCCTGCATTCTTAATTCAAATCAAGTTATAGCTAAAACAAAGATCACTTTTTGCTTTAGGTTTAGCATGAAACAGGTAAAAGGGAATGCATTGGGAAAATTGGGGCAAAGGATTTATAATAGAAATAATTCATTTTTATGGATAATGTTATTATAAATTGTATTTCAAGATGCAGCCTGCATCACTCAGTACTCCAGACCACTCTTATCCTTTACATTCTCCAGAGCATTTATCAGCTTGTAATATAACATATAGTTTATTGTGTTTATTGCCTGTCTCTTCTCTACTAGAATGTCATTTGTATGAGAGCAGGAATCTTTGTTTTGTTCACTGATATATTCTAAGCACTAAAACCAGAGTCTGGCACATAGTAGGTGTTCAACTGATGTTTGTAGACTGAATGAATACCAAGACCAATCCCACTCCATCCCTCAGATTTTAGTAATTATTACATTGCTATATTATTATGTAATAATATTCCAGATAAATATTATATTGCTATATTCCTTATGAAGTAGTTAACAAACAGGTAAAAAATAGTACTCTGCCATCCAGTATGAGAAGATAATTTTATGAACTGTGTCTTAAAAATGTATCAAGTAATTTGGAGTGTTTGAATATTTAATATATTACAGTGAAACTAGATTACCTGAGATTCTTCCAGAATTTATTAGGAAATGGAAGATGGAAAGCTTTTCAACTAAAAAGGTGTTTTTGATATATCTTTCTCAGATGGGAAAACTGACAACCATGCCTGCAGGTCTAATATATGCATCTGTAAGTGTACATGCAGTCAAAGAAGAGGAATCCAAAAAGCAGCTAGTGAAACCAGAGCAGGTAATTTGCCTACAAAGGTTTATGAACTTTGTATAATATCAAGATAACACAAAAGCTATATTTTTTAAAATTATCTTTACTCATCAAAAATGTCTTAGAAGTCTTTGTTAGGTAGGTTTTAAAAGTTGAGAGAAATAGTTATGAAGTATCTCAAAAGACAATATGTAACTCAAACATCTAAAATTCTAACTCCAATGAAAAACAACTGGTGGTTTTTCTTAATGAATAATCAATAAGTAGTAGAGGGTGTTAGACGTTCTAGGCAGTCTGATTTTTCTTTCTTGAAAAACATATACAGGTACATTCAGTATTAGGAAACTTCAGTTTAAGAGATTCATTAAGATCTCAGTTTTGGAAGTGACCTTAGATGTTTTCTAGATCAACCTTCTGTATGGTACTGTAATTCCCTCTATAGCAGGCACATTTAGTGGCCATATATCTTCTACGTGAATAAAACTCTAGATAAAGGAGTCTAAGGAGCCCATTCCATTTTCTAAATCCTCTCATTTAATTTAAGGTCCTTTCCTTATGTCAGACAGAAATTAGTCTCATAATCACTTCTACCTGTTGGTACTGTATCTCTTGCATTGGTGCCAAACAGAAAACTTCTCTCTTTCAAAAACCAAGCCTTTAAATATCAGTTATACTCTAAGTAATTTTGCTTCCAGGATAAACATTTTAAAGCATTTAGTTGCTTCAACTATTTCTCATACATCACAGCTCTGAGTTCCTCACTATCATGATCAGCCTCTGCCAAGCATGTTCAGGATAGTTAGTGTTTTCTTCAGGTGTAAGTACTTTGTTTTTGTTTTTAAAAAGCACTTTGGTTTTTGGTGCCATGACTTGGATGTATGAACCAAGGTGTTTTGACTGCTACAGGACAGAGTCAGTCTCTGACTTCTCCTCTTCTAGATGTTATATTTCTATTAATGCTGCCTAATATCGTGTTAGTTTTTATGTTTGAGTGCTCAAAATCAACCATGCTCATAAGCAGCCTTTGACCGTGATACAGTAAGCATGTGGTTCTCTAAAATTCATTAAGCCTTTTTACATGGACTACCAGTAAGGTATGCCTCATCCCAGTCTGTACTTAGGCATTTGAACTTTTTGGACTCGTTGAAGGTATATTTATACCTGTTTAAATTTTACCTTGTTGATCTGGCTTATCATGCCAGCCTGTTGAGCTGTAATTGTGGTTACTAATTCTATTCATCATTGTGCTTTTTATCTCTTCCCACTTTAAGTCATCCCTAAGGTTTATCTACACATTTAATAATATGTTTTTGAATCAGGCCTGAATTTGAATCCTGCTTCCATGACTGACTAGTTAGATGACATTGGGCAGAACTCTTAATGGTGTCATAAGTATTCTGTTGTATGAATGTACTACCATCAAATAAATGTAAAATTTTCATAAATTTTTGGAAATGTAGACTATTTCCAGCTATTGCTATTGTATTCAGTACTTGTTGAACCACTTTGTATTGAATCTATATATACGTCTATAACCATTTCCTTAGAATGAATTTCTAGAAGCAGAAGTGTAGGTCAAAAGGCACAAAAAATTGATAATATTGCCAAACTAACATGCATAAAGGTAATATTCATAAATTCAACTAAAAATATTTTCTAAGCTCCTCTCTATATATTTGTGAGGCACTGTTCTAATTACTAAAGTTTATTTTCATTAATGGTCTAGGGTAGAGTCATTTTCCTACCCGCTAACTGATTCTAAGTATTTTTTTAATTTTTTCTTTTTATTAATCTTAGGAGGATGTTGATTTTAAGGCTTCCTTGACACTCCCATATCTGGACAGCTCAAATCTAGGTAGGAAGATAAATCCCTAATGACTGAATTTAATTTTTGAAATTTTAAAATAAAGTAGTGCTGTTTATTATGGAATACACAGTATTCCTTGGTATTTATTGTATTCCCCAAGTATATTTTAAATATCATTTAATTGAATTACTCATTAAACAAAGCTGGTTGCCAACTACGTGCTAGGGACTATATACAAAGTCAGGATCCAATCCTTGAGGACTGTAGAATTTCTGAAGGGATTAAAATGTGATTTATGTGCAACATTTCTAGCTACTTTTATTGTGTAAAGTGAGCTATACTTCCGTTTAAATCTATAATAATGCTTCTACTAAACCAGAATACTTTATGAATGAAGTGTTCTAGTTATTTGGTTATTTGAATCTTTTGGTAAACTTGTAGCTAAACAGAAAATCTGTTTTAGTTCAACTCTTCTCACTAAGCGTCTTTTTAAATATTCTCAATGTATTCCTGCCTTATATGCCATCTAGTGAACATAATTAAATCTCTCTTTAATAGAAAACTCTGTAGGACCATGAGACAATCATTTTTTTAACCATGAAATCTACAGTGTTCATATCAGTAAAATGACTAGCAATTGGAATGCATGTATATAGCCAGCCCTAGACATCCCTGAACATTTCTTTTTAAAATCCCTCTATGAGATGAATTGTACTTATTTTCTTGTCATTTGCTTGTTGTCACTGAGAAATAACAGAAAAAATACTGATTTGAGAGTTTTAGTTACTTTGGTTCAATTTAATTTTAAATGTGGTTTTATAGCTTACTAAATGTAATCATAATTTCGAAATGAGAACAAACAATTTCTATCTATACAATAAGTAGCATTTAACCCCAAGGCCTCCAAAATTTATAGTGAGAATGCTTTTCTCAGTGGAGACTATAGTAACATCCTACTGGCTAGCTCTTAAAATTCTTACAGTAGAGCTGAAATCCTGTCATCATAAACCTTTCAACTATGCCCATGCCTTAGAAGGAAAATACTTTAAAACACTGATTCTTAACCATTCTGACCCCTTTGAGAGTGTGATAAGAACTTTGAATGCTGTTCCTAGAAAACTTCATATACAAAATTTTGTTTACAATTGGCAACAAATAAAGAACCTGAATCCGTGAGACACGGTGCCTCACGCTTCTAATCCCAGCACTTTAGGATGCCAACGTGGGCGGATTGCTTGAGCTCAGGAATTGGAGACCAGTCTGGGCAACAGGGTGAAACCCCGTTTCTACAAAAAAATACAAAAATTAGCCAGGTTTGTTGGGGGTGTGCCTGTAGTCCCAGCTACTCAGGATGCTGAGGTGGGAGGATTGCTTGAGCCCGGAAGGTTGAGGCTGCAGTGAGCTGTGTTCATGCCACTGTACTCTAGCCTGAATGACAAAGCAAGACCCTGTCACAAAAAAAAAAAAAAAAAAAAAAGAAAACTTAATCAGCAGGTTTTGATGGGGACAGAGGAGAGAATAAGAACAATGAGTGTAGTAAAGTTTGGAATTGGGATGTGTAAATAATAGAGAGGATAGAAACATGATGGACAAACATGTAAGTAAATAACGTTGCCCACTCTAACACCAGTACATCCACATATATCTCTCCTTTCTAGGGGAGAGGGGAAACTTCTCTACTTGCAGTGCACCTGCTTTTTATATATAAAATGCATCTTTAATATAAAATATGCATCTCTCACCTTCCTAATTACACACAGTTGCCAATGTGGTGAATTTATTTATTTATTTATTTTTTCTTTCTTTTTATTTATTTATTATTATTATTATACTTTAAGTTCTAAGGTACATGTGCATAACGTGCAGGTTTGTTACATATGTATACTTGTGCCATGTTGGTGTACTGCACCCATCAACTCGTCAGCACCCATCAACTCGTCATTTACATCAGGTATAACTCGAGAAACAAGAAATGGGGAAAGGATTCCCTATTTAATAAATGGTGCTGGGAAAATTGGCTAGCCATAAGTAGAAAGCTGAAACTGGATCCTTTCCTTACTCCTTATACGAAAATTAATTCAAGATGGATTAGAGACTTAAATGTTAGACCTAATACCATAAAAATCCTAGAGGAAAACCTAGGTAGTACCATTCAGGACATAGGCATGGGCAAAGACTTCATGTCTAAAACACCAAAAGCAACGGCAGCAAAAGCCAAAATTGACAAATGGGATCTCATTAAACTAAAGAGCTTCTGCACAGCAAAAGAGACTATCATCAGAGTGAACAGGCAACCTACAGAATGGGAGAAAATTTTTGCAATCTACTCATCTGACAAAGGGCTAATATCCAGAACCTACAAAGAACTCAAACAAATTTACAAGAAAAAAAACAACCCCATCAAAAAGTGGGCAATGTGGTGAATTTAAATCTAAGTATTAGTGTAGAAAGATAAACACTAACTCTTTAATCCTGGTATGGGAAGTAAAGAGCCATTTAATGGTAAAGCAAGACTTTTCTGACTTACTACTGGAAAAACTTTACCAAACTGACACTGTCTTATGGTTTATATGTCTTTTAAATTTTAATTTAAAAAGCTGACATAAAATTGTATGCATTTACCTTGTACAGCATGATGCTTTGAAGTATATATATTATGGAATGACTAACTCAGTTTACATATGTATTACCTTAAATAGTTATCATTTTTGTGATGAGGACATTTTATACCCACTCTTAGCATTTTTCAAGAATACAATATAGTGTTAACTATAGTTTCATGTTTGTTGTTGATAGAGGACCAAATCCAAAGTCATTAATCATCTAGTTCCCTTGCTGTTGATTTGTAAACTTGATTCTTTCCAGTTATATCTTCATGAAACACCAAGCTTCATAGGATGATTTATACCCTAAATATAAAAGTCAAAAAAAAAAATGTTTTTTTTTTAAAAAGGAAGTAAGTCCCTACCTGGTTAAATTTTTCATTGTTCTTTTGTGTATGTTTGTTTTTATTAAATACTAATTAGAATAAAAAGGCTGTTCAAAATATGAAAGGTATGATATGATGATAATGATGTACAGCTGTGTGCCTACTACCCAATTTAAAGGAAAACAAAAATCCCCTGTGTTCCCATTTCATTCCATTCAGAGGTTATCATTACCCTGAATTTTTACTATTATTCCCCTCCTTTACTTTTAAATTTTACCTTATATGTCTGTATTGCTAAGCAATATGTTTTTTGGGTTTTTTTAAGTAAACTTATATTCCTGAAATTCATCCAAATTTTTCCATGTTGCTGTAATTTTTATATTTACCCCCTAATTTCTAATATTTCTTTGTACGAATATGCCCCAATGTATCCATTTTACTGTGGATGGACATTGGGTTGGTTGTAATTAAAATGTTGCTATGAACATTATTTTACATAACTCTGGGTGTGCAAAAACAGTAGTTTCTCTAAATATACGTAAGAGTAGAACCACTATATTATACTATATTTGGCATCTTTTAATTTCTGGGTTTTAAATAGTCTTTATAAACAGTTTACCACATCATTCCTGTATTTAAGATGGTTTTTTCAAAGTATTTTATCCGCATTTTTAGTTGTTTTTAGGAAGAAGGCTGATTAGGATTCCTGTTCTGCCATACTGCTGTTACGGACAGTCCAGCTATTTTACGTTTTTGACATGAACATTTTTTGCCTGTAGCTCCCTATATATACTGCACCACCGCTTCAGTCTAAATATGTTGAAGAGCAGCCTGGTCATTTACAAATGGGTTTTGCTTCCATCCGGACTGCAACTGGTTGTTATATTGGCTGGTGCAAGGTAAGTCAATTCTGATAGTGGTTTAATATCAGAGGTTTCTGATTTAATTGTTCCAGTTACCTATTGATGTGTAGAAAACTAATCCAAAACTTAGTGGCTTAAAACCACAACCATTATGTTACATCTTATGATTTTGTAAGTCACAAATTTGATCTGAGTTCAGACAGATGATTTGTCTGTTGCATGTGACATTGACAGAGGTGGCCCAGTGGTGTTCATCTGGCAAATGAGCTGATCTAGACAGTCCAAGACAGCTTTATTTGCATATCTGGCACCTTGTTAAAGATGGCTGGATGGCCGGGTTCAGCTGGGATTATTGACTAGAATGCCTACACATGGCCTCTCAAGCATGGTGATCTCAAATAGGTCAGATATAACTTAACATGGGTAGTTCAGGGCTCCTAAAGACAATGTTACAAGTGGCCCTAGGCAGAATTTGTCAGGCTTTTTGCCTATTATCAGATGTCCAAGAAAGTCACTTCTACAGCATTCTATTGTTAAGTCACTAAGGCCAGCTTCGTTTTAAAGGGAAGGGAATTAGATGCCAATTCTCAGTAGAAGTTGCAGCAAATAATTTGTGGCTGTATTGAACCTACTGTACCCCTACTGCATAAATTAAAGTAGTTCAGCAAGCATTTGTGTCACCTAGCATGTACACAGTATCCCTCACTTTTTATGTGAAGTTCTGAGATTACTTCTGAATATTTTTTTCTTTGGCTAAGCAAAGTGTTGTTTACTTGTTGGGGTTATCCCATAAGACCATTCTAGCTACAGTAAGCTATTGGGCAAGCTAGAATACACGTGACTTTAATGCTTAGCCTTCAATTAGTGATATCCATCAGCAGAGTGGTGGAGTAAGCTGATACAACACTAATGTTTCTTTATCATCACATAAACATAATTGTGTTAGCATCGGTATCTCCAGTGTCAGTGTCTTAATGTTGTTACCAGTGTTTTCATCATTCTGACCTAGTAACCATGTGACTTTTCCCCAGCTATAGCCTGATGGTGAACCACTGTTCTTGTTTAGTTTCTTCTATCCATTATCTTTAAAAAGAAATCTAATGAGCTTATAAAAAATAATGTATGCTTAGGTGAAATACCAAATCAATGAACTCTGATAATTCCAGATGATATTTCATTCAAATATCTGATAAATATATGATGTTATTTTTGAAAACTTGTGTTTGTCATACAATTTTTATGGTATTAGTTGTACTACACGCTACTAATAGTTTGCTCTAAGAGGGAAATACCTTAACCAATTATGGTCTGAATCATGTCCCTATGACTATATGCCAATAGCTAGATGATTCAGACTTAAGCTTCCTGAGATGTAATTTTCCATAATGTTCTCAAATTTTTCTTCAGTGAGATAAAATGTTCCTGAGAGGTCTTTAAATTGCTATTGTAACTATCATCCAATTTAAGACTCAAAAGAATGTTTTATTCCATTAATATGCTCAAACAAATAGGTTGAAAAAGGCAGTTTCCAATGCATTTTGTCCTAAATGTAAACAACTTTTTTTTTTCTAATTTTCCCCTAAAAATGTAATCTATTCTTTAAAAATTACGTCTGACTCAAATTTGTTCCACATTAAACCTTGAATCATGTAGAGCAAATTCAATTTCTACTACTGCTAGCTTAGTGTTTTGAAATTTAGATAGCACTGACCCCATGTGGTAAAAATGAATTCTTTAGCAGAGATAAGAAAAAAAATTTTTTTAAAGATGACTTAATGGTTAAATGATTCCCAATCGACTGGTCAATAGATATTTTAACTTTGAAGGTGCAATATTCTCAAGAGAGTCCCTACAGAAAAGTAGTTCAATAGCAGTTAGCATTTATGCTGATTTGTACAATTTTAAACCAAGATGAACCTCTGCATCTCTCTGATAACCATTAAAATATCTAAGATAAAATTACAAAACCAAGCTATCTCTATAACAAAAACTTATTTCTTCCCTGTCCAATATAATAATCTCTATTTTCTCTGCTTTGAAAGTCTTTTTTGTTCTGTTTTTATCCCATGGTTTCATAGCAGCTAGTTCAGAGAAGGAGACCATATATTTGGATTGTGTTTTCTGGTTCCATCAACAGAGTACAATATGACCATGAGTAAATCATTTTGTGACTTCCTTTTTTTTTTCTTATATAAGTGAGATAATACCTAGCACTCAATAAATATATTTAACACTCTTTTGCACTAAAATAAATCAGTTAGAGACAGGTAAAGTTAAAGATTTGCTTTAAAACTTTAATTCCTCCGATGGATTAACACAGTTTTGATTTCTAGAGAATTTATGTTCCTATTTAAAAACAGGATAAACAGTAGTCTATGTAGGATGATTTCTGTCCTGAGGTAATTTAGATTTTTTTTTTCTCATTCTAATGTACAATAAGAAAAGGGAGGAAGATGAAGCCCTTTGCTTTAGACTTTTTGTTCTTTTTTTCCCTCTACAAATCATTATGTTATTGCTACTGCATCTTTATTAATCAGATGTTGCTTCTAAACTGAAATATACTTTGCTTTATTTAAATTCCATTTATTTTTCTAGTTCGTTATAACATAAGATGATAGATCTTTATTTTCTTCACTATCATTTCTGCTCTGATTATTTCATGGACATCCATTTATATGAGAAAAATGGTATAAATGTTATCCATGTTAAATAGAATGAAAAACAGAAAATGAAAACAAGCTAAGTTAAATGAGTATTCTGATAGTAAATACACAGGAAAGCTGGATTTAGATTTGGGCATAATGCTAAGTCAACCTTTTAATATAATCTCGGAGGTGCAGGCAATTTTGTCTCATTATCAACAGCTTCAAAAATGCAGGTGTCTTCCCCCTCCCCTTTTTTTTTTTTGCTTAGGGTGTTTATGTCTTTGTGAAAAATGGGATAATGGATACAGTACAATTTGGAAAAGGTAGGTGAGTAAATAATTAGAAATGTTGTATTGTGTTTTTAAATTGCTTTGTTTAAATATGAGAAAAATAAACTTGGTATGTTACCCATTATCATGCATTTGCCAACTCAGAAGATACTCTCTATAGCAATTTATTGGTAATAATAGCAAAGCAATAGTATTCATTATTCAGCAGTTATTATTGGCTAAGGTGTTGTACTAAACATTTTACATAATTTTTGTCACAATTCTGTTAGTATTGGTATTATAATTATTCCCATTTTACAGATGAGGGCAACTGAGGTTTAGAAAGGTTAAGTAGGTTATTGAGGTTACATAACTACAAGTGGTAGTGCCAGGATACAAACTGAGGTCTGTTTTAACTACTAAGTCTATATTATATATCATAAAGCATAAATTAAAAACATGTCTCCATTGTTGCTAATTAGTTTAAGTGCTATTTGCTGTTAAAATACATTGTATTTTGCTGTCAACAGCTAGGAAATGTTATAGCAATCACTAACCCTGGAATATTTAAGCTAATGTTTAAAAAGCAATTATATTTGACTCTAGCTTGTTAATGGTATTTAGCAACAGATACAGCTTTCTAATATTCTTGGCTTATGCCAGTTGTCATAGTAAATATGTATGGGAGATAGAAAGATGAGCTAAAATTTTGAATGTTTCCATGAAGTTGATGACCTGTTTTTGAATTATCATTATTTAATGTATTAGGAATAAATTCAAAATTATATTCCTCATCAATCATTAGGAATAGGATTAAATATGTGATTGCCATTAAATAATTAACTATGATAGAAAAGTATACTTTTGGAACTAGAAACAATTTAAATATTTAGAAAGCCAAGAAATCTGGACTTTCACCTACTCTTCATCTACTTTTTATCTAGGCTCAGTGATGATTAACCAACAGCAGTGGCTGTCTTGAGATTATTAGGGAGTAGTGGCAAGCAAGGTCTAGTAGCTGTGTATATCCTTAAACTATTATTCAAAACTCCTTTATAAAGTATCTATTTCGGTTCTCACTGGAGGCTACCAGTGTTTGAACAGATAAGGGCAGAAGCATGTTCATTATAGAGATATAATACATACACAGTCAGAAATTCACCTTATGGTAACCCATATTAAGATGTGCCCTCTAGCATTGCATTTCTTTATAGTAATGACCACTGGTATCATTAAGAAAAGAAATATTAAATCACCTATAGAAGGAAAATGTTATTTCGTAACAAGTAAATATATCTAGTTTTTTAAGTTGCTACTCATATCGTCATTATATATAGCTCTTTTGAAGAGTGTTTAAACCTTATTATTATCTTAACAAATCTCTTTAACCTTCCTGCATCATAACTGTATAGAATGTCCAGTAGAATTCAGTTATTTATGTTAATTTTTAACTGATTTCTTGAGATGCTTATGTCTATCTGAAGAATCCTCCTCGAGACTTTCTTCCGAAAATGGGAGTTATTACAGTTTCAGGATTGGCGGGCTTGGTTTCAGCGAGAAAAGGTAGGGTTTTTAAGAGTATATTCTCTCTTAATGCCACGATACTAGTTTCTGAATTTTACGATCATAAGAAAACCTCATATGCTTTATTGAATATTATCTGGATAGGCTACTGTAAAGATTTTTAGATTCTGTATTACAGCATGCTTACTTTTATAAGGACTTTGTGTTTTCAAAACTATAGCTATTCCAAAGGCAGTTCAACGTCATTAGTCATTAGGGAAATGCAGATAAAAATTAGAATGAGATACCATGTCAGTTCTAACAACATTGGTCAGGATGAGACCAAGAGAAAATAAAATTTTATCTCATATATCAGTATCTCTGTCTCAAATCTTTAAAGTAGCCCCCAGAATATGGGGGATCATGACTGAGAAAATTAGTTTGAGTGATTAGTATATATTTTTACGTTAAGATAAAACTCTCAAGAAATTTTTTCGGTAGTTAGCGACTCTTAAGGTCTTAAAAAAAAAGTTACCTAGAAAACAAAATGACAAATTATAATTTTAATAGGAACAGCTGTATATTCAAAAAAATTTTATTTCAAAATTATGACACAGTAGATTCATACAATTCTATCAGTTTTAATATATACATAGAGTCATGTAACCATCACCACAACCAGGATACAGAACAGTTATATTATTCCCAAAAAGTACCTCATGCTATCTGTCTGTAGTCAGACCTTCTTCCCACTTCTGACTCCCAGAAACACTGATCTGTTCTCTGTCACTCTAGCTCTGCCTTTTTGAGAATGCCATCTAAATGGAATCATACATAGACTGGCTTCTTTCACTCAGATTATCAAGATTGTTGCATGTGTCAATAGCTTGTTCCTTTTTGTTACTAAGTAGTATTTCTTCATATGGATGTGCCACAGTTTACTTTATCCCTTACCTGTTGGACATTTGGGTTGTTTCCAGCTTTTGGTCATTAGGAATAGAGCTGCTATGAAAATTTGTATACAGGGTTTTCATTTCTCCAAGCCCTTACTAAGCTATTGTAGTTCTCTAGTCACTAGCCATTTTGGTCACCTTTCAGTCATCCTTTGTCCACACTCCAGTTGGCAGACATTGTCCCCAAACTAAATTGCTTATATTTGGAAGGCGCAGCTCTGAACCAGTCTGGAATCTGATGTCAGGTACTTTGTAGTTTGTTTTTCCAGCTATAGTCCTAAAAGCCTCAACTCAAGGCATAATTAGTTACAAAACTGCTGTGCAATTATAAGAACATTCTAGCATCCTAACTCTAACATATATATATATATATATCTCTCTCTCTCATATATATATAACATATATAACAGATATATGTATAACATATATATATAGCATATACATGAGAGTTAGGATGGCAGAATGTTCATATATATATATATATAGATATAGATATATATATCATCTGGATGGACATAACACTCTCTCTGTAGCTAATATGAATGCCTCCCTATATCCTATTTCTTATTATAGTAGGCAAGCAACTTCTAATTGAATAGATATTATAAATTATTCAGTAAGAAATAATTAAAAACCAAGATCACGATATAAAACAAGACTCAAAGAATTAAATTTTGAAGGAAATTGTCCAAAACGTATTACTCCGTTTCTCAGTAAAATACTTATACCATTCTTGCAAGAGAAAATGTTCCATAGGTCATTCACCGTGTTTCCAAATGTCAGAGCTAGAATAGTCTAACCCAGTGTTTTTCAAATTGGAGATCTCAACTTATGAATAGATAATGACATAAATATAATGAATCTCAGGAGACATTTTACCTTTGTTTTAAAAAATTATATTTTAAGTTCCAGGGTATATGTACAGCATGTTCAGATTTGTTACATAGGTAAACGTGTACCATGATGGTTTTCTGCACCTGTCAACCCATCAGCGAGGTATAAGCCCAGCATTCATCAGCTATTTTTCCTGATGCTCTCCCCCCGCCACCTCCCATGACAGGCCCCAGTGTGTGTTGTTCCCCTCCGTGTGTCCATGCCTTCTCATTGCTCAGCTCCCACTTACAAGTGAGAACATGCAGTGTTTGGTTTTCTGTTCCTGTGTTAGTTTGCTGAGGATAATGGCTTTCCAGCTTCATCCATGTCCCTGCAAAGGACATGATCTCATTCCTTTTTATGGCAGCATAGTATTCCATGGTGTATATGTACCACATTTTCTTTATAAGTCTATCATTGATGGACATTTGGGTTGATTCCATGTCTTTGCTATTGTGGATAGTGCTGCAGTGAACATATGCATACATGTATCTTTATAATAGAATGATTTATATTCCTTTGGGTATATACCCAGTAATGGGATGGCTGGGTCAAATGGTATTTCCAGTTCTAAATCTTTGAGGAATCGCCACATCTTCCACAATGTTTGAACTAATTTACATTCCCACCAACAATGTAAAAGCATTCATTTCTCTCCACAACTTCACCAACGTCTGTTATTTTATGACTTTAGTAAAAGCTGTTCTGATTGGTGTGAGATATTATCTCATTGTGGTTTTGATTTGCATTTCTCTGATGATCAGTGATGTTGAGCTCTTTTTCATGTTTATTGGCCACATGTATGTCTTCTTTTGAGAAGTGTTTGTTCATGTCCTTTGCCCATTTTTAAATGGGGTTCTTAGTTTCTTTCTTATAAATTTGCTTAAGTTCCTTGTAGATTCTGGATATTAGACCTTTGTGAGATGGATAGATTGCAAAAATTTTCTCCCGTTCTATAGGTTGTCTGTTCACTCTGATGATGGTTTCTTTTGCTGTGCAGAAGCTCTTTAGTTTAATTAGATCTCATTTGTCAATTTTTGCTTTTGTTGTGATTGCTTTTGGTGATTTCATCATAAAATTTTTGCCCATGCCTATGTCCTAAATGGTATTGCCTATATTTTCTTTTAGGATTTTTATAGTTTTGTGTTTTATGTTTTAAGTCTTTAATCCATCTTGAGTTACTTTTTGTATAAGGTGTAAGGAAGGGGTCCAATTTCAGTTTTCTGCATATGGCTAGCCAGTTTTCCCAACACCATTTATTAAATATTGAATCCTTTCCCCATTGCTTGTTTTTGTCAGGTTTGTCAAAGATCAGATGGTTGTAGATGTGTGGTTTTAGTTCTCTATTCTGTTCCATTGGTCTGTGTGCCCATTTTTGTACAAATACCTTGCTGCTTTGGCTACTGTAGCCTTGTAGTATAGTTTGAAATCAGGTAGCATGATGGCTCCAGCTTTGTTCTTTTTTGCTTAGGGTTGTCCTGGCTATATGAGCTCTTTTTTGGTTCCATGTGAATTTTAAAATAGTTTTTCTAGTTCCGTGAAGAATGTCAATGATAACTGAATGGGAATAGCATTGAATGTGTAAATTCCTTTGGGCAGTATGGCCATTTTCACGATATTGTTTCTTCCTATCCATGAGCATGAAAAGTTTTTCCATTTGTTTTTGTCTTCTCTGATTTCCTTGAGCAATGGTTTGTAGTTCTCCTCGAAGAGGTCTGTCACTTCCCCTGTTAACTGTATTCCTAAGTATTTTATTCTTTTATGGCAATTGTGAATGGGAGTTAATTTGTGATTTGGCTCTCTGCTTACCTGTTGTTGGTGTATAGGAATGCTAGCAAATTTTGGACATTGATTTTTGTATCTTGAGGCTTAGCTGAAGTGGCTTATCAGCTTAAGAAGCTTTTGGGCTGAGTTGACGGGATTTTCTAGATACAGGGATCATATCATCTGCAATCAAAGATAATTTGACTTCTTCTCTTCCTATTTCAGTACCCTTTATTTTTTTCTCTTGCCTGATTGCCCTGGCGAGAACTTCCAGTACTATGTTGAATAAGAGTGGTGAAAGAGGGCATCCTTTTCTTGTGCCAGTTTTCAAGGGGAATGCTTCCAGCTTTGCCCATTCATTATGATATTGGCTATGGGTTTGTCATAAATGGCTCTTATTATTTTGAGGTGTGTTCCTTCAATATCTAGTTTATTGAGAGTTTTTAACATGAAGGGATGTTGAGTTTTATCAAAGGCCTTTTCTCCGTCTATTCAGATAATCATGTGATTTTTGTCTTTAGTTCTTTTTACATGATGAATTACATTTATTGATTCGCATATGTTGAACCAGCCTTGCATCCCAGGGATGAAGCCAACTTGATCATGGTGGATAAGCTTTTTGATGTGCTTCTGGATTTGGTTTGCCAGTATTTTATTGAGGATTTTTGCATTGATGTTCATAAGGAATATTGGCCTGAAGTTTTCTTTTTCTTTTTTTTGTTGTATCTCTGCCAGGTTTTGGTATCAGGATGATGCTGGCCTCATACAATTAGTTAGGGAGGAGTCCCTCCTTTTCAGTTGTTTGGAATAGTTTCAGAAGAAATGGTACCAGCTCCTCTTTGTACCTCTGATAGAATTCAGATGTAAATCCATCTGGTCCTGGGGTTTTTTTGGTTGGTAGAATATTTATTACTGCCTCAATTTCAGAACTTTTTGCTGGCCTCTTCAGGGATTCAACTTCTTCCTGGTTCAGTCTTGGGAGGGTGTATGCGTCCAGAAATTTATCCATTTCTAGATTTTATAGTATATTTGCATAGTTGTGGTTGTAGTATTCTCTGATGGTGTTTTGTATTTCTGTGGGATCAATGGTGGTATCCTCCTTATCATTTCAGATTGTGTTTATTTGAATATTCTCTCCTTTTTTCTTTATTAGTATAATTAGCAGTCTATTTTATTGATGTTTTTCAATAAAATCATCTCCTCGATTTGTTGATTTTTTTTTTTTTTTTTGAAGGGATTTTTGTGCCTCTGTCACCTTCAGCTCTGAAGCTTGGTTATTTCTTGTCTTCTGCTAGCTCAGTGGTTTGTTGGCTCTTGGTTCTCTAGTTATTTTAGTTGTCATGTTAGGATGTCAATTTGAGATCTTTTTAGCTTTTTGATGTGGGCATTTAATGCTATAAATATCCCTCTTAACACTACTTTAGCGGCATTGCAGATTCTGGCACGTTGTCTCTTTGTTCTCATTAGTTTAAAAGAACATCTTGATTTCTGCCTTAATTTCATTATTTACCCAGAAGTCATTCAAGAACAGCTTGTTCAATTTCCATGTAGTTGTGCGGTTTTGAGAGAGTTTCTTAATCTTGAGTTCTAATTTGATTGTGCTGTGGTCTGAGAGACTGTTATGATTTCAGTTCTTTTACATTTGCTGAGGAGTGTTTTACTTCCGATTATGTGATCAATTTTAGAGTAAGTGCCACATGGCACTGAGAAAAATGTGTATTCTGTTTTTGTTTTTGTTTTTGTTTTTTTCCTGGAGTGGAGAGTTCTGTAGATGTCTATCAGGTCCACTTGATCTAGAGTTGAGTTCAAGTCCCGAATATCTTTGGTAATTTTCTGTCTCGATGATCTGTCTGATACTGACAGTGGAGTATTAAAGTCTCCCACTATATTATGTGTGGGTCTGTATCTCTTTTTAGGTCTTTAAGTACTTGCTTTATGAATCTGGGTGCTCCTGTGTTGGTTGCATATATATTTAGGATAGTTAGCTCTTCTTGTTGAATTGAACCCTTTACCATTATGTAATGTCCTTCTTTGTGTTTTTTGACATCTGTTGGTTTAAAGTCTGTTTTGTCAGACACTAGGATTGCAACCCCTGATTTTTTTCTGCTTTCCATTTGCTTGGTAAATGTTCCTGCATCCTTTATTTTGAGTCTGTGTGTGTCTTTGCACATGAGATGTGTCTCTTGAATACAGCACACCGATGGGTCTTGTCTTTTTGTCTGGCTTGCCATCTTGTGTCTTTTAATTGGGGCATTTAGTCCATTTTCATTTAAGGTTAATATTGTTATGTGTGAATTTGATCCTGTCATAATGGTGCTGGCTGGTTAATTTTGCAGACTTGTTAATGTAGTTGCTTCATAGTGCCATTGGTCTGTGTATTTCAGTGTGTTTTTGTAGTGGCTGGTAATGGTTTTTCCTTTCCGTGTTTAGTGCTCCCTTTGAGAGCTCTTGCAACGCTGGTGTGGTGGTGATGAAATCCCTCAGTATTTGCTTGTCAGGATGCATTTTATTTAAAAATAGAGGAGAACAGCAAATATCAGAGTAGTTTTTTCTTGCAGACTGGCCTCTCTTATCAGGTAAAGAGAGGATGACTGTAAGTCTTTTTAAAATCTTTAAAATGACACGTAAGGAAAAACTGCCACCTGCTATGTTTAGGAGCAGCACAATTAGGGGAATTTGGTTAAGTCAAGGGAACTTACATCAAGAGATATTAGAATTATGAAATAAGAAATTTAACTATAGGTAACGGAATAACAGCGAGCAGGACTAGAGTAAAGGAGCAACTTAGGACATTTTAATATACTTAAACCCTCTTTCTGCACACCACAAAAGTCTAAATCTAAAGAAAAGCTAAACTAGTTCGAATCAGCCTGGCAGCCCGCCACCCCCCACCTCAGTCCATTATAGACATGACTATAGAAAGCTTCCTTAATAATAGTTAAACCAGACCGATAGAGACCTCTAGTTTTTCTCTTACGTAAACTGCAAATTTGCCTGCAAACATTCATTTTCATTTGTATAATATACCAGATAAGCTGTTCCCTTTTTAGATTAGGGATTGTATAAGCTGCTTCAGATCATGAAAGTACTTATCCCAATTTAAAAATCCATCATCCAATTACCCAGATCATATATACAGTCTAAGATACTCAGAGAAGCATTTAACGTACATATTATTTTGAATCAACAGTTACTTGGAACTAAGCTATGGCTTAAAGTGGTGGATTTCAAACTATTCTGTAGAACCCTTAGTTTCATGGAAGTGTTTAGTGGTGGTATCAGGATAAAGGAAAAGCCATATAGCCAGGGTTTGATACAGAGCTTCCTACCCCAAAGTTAGTCACAGCAGCATCAAGTTTATAGGTTTTATATATTGAATTTCCTAGGGAGATTCTATTTGAAAGATATTTGGAAAAGATTTTGTTACCAAAAAAAGATATGAAAATAACTCTTAAATGATGCATAGTTAAGGCACTTTTTGATATGCATTAATTATGTCAAGTTACTTGCAATTATTATTCAGTATTCTAAATCAGTGACATGAAGGAGTTATGCACCTGTTAAAGTCCTTAGCTGATTATTTAGTTGAGTAACTAACCTTCCTAAATACTTAATCAAAAAGGAGACGTAAGAGAGAGTCCATTTCACTTTAATATGGTGTCACAAACACAGTAGTTAATTAATTCTCTATATTATCATGCTTTATTAGATACTTGCAAAATTGTGGTTATAAATTTGGGTTTCGTAGGACATGAAAAATACCTAGCTTTCAAGCAGCAGAAAATCATCCATTCCTTTTGTGTAGGTAATTGTCAGTATTAGATTGAGAATACTTTTGTTAAATTGGACATGACAGCTAAGGGGTAATTGACTTGAGATCCTTAAGGGCATTTTGGCTTCCATCTTGATTGGTATAATTACATAAAAAGTAATTTAACAGAGTGTCATGGCTTACCAGGGGAGCAAAGAAAGCATTACAGTATAAGAACATCAAGTCTCTGGTGGCATATATTTGGAGTTTAATAATTTATTTGCATTTTATAGGTTCCAAGTTTAAGAAAATTACTTATCCTCTGGGACTGGCCACTTTAGGAGCAACTGTTTGCTACCCAGTTCAGTCCATAATAATTGCTAAGGTAAGTTCTTTTTAAATAATAACAACATTTCAGTATTTGTTTAAACTCTCAGTGTGACAATATTTAAATGTTACACAGCACCTTCAACATTTAATTTTAAGAGATGTAGTTGGTGTCAACTCTGTTGGCCAAATCACATTAGCATCTCAGCATGGTAAATGCCATTCTTAATAGGATGAATTTGTTTAAATATAATTCAACAATGTAAAGGCAGATTTGAGGATTACGTTCAGAGACACTGAATTAGAATTTATGGGGAGAAATACTGCTCCATTATTAAGGTATATAAACTTCAATTTTTATTTAAAAGAAGATTAAAATACTAGCAGCTGTTTGGTTCAGCAGATTAACCTGACATGAGAAACAACCAGTTGATAGATTGGCTTCAGTGGTTTTTGAACGTAAAACACACACACACACACACACACACACGAACTCAATATTGAAACCACTTAGAATTAAGAAACACCTGTATAAATGCTTATTATAGTTGTTTTGTCTTTTTCTTGTGAGCTTAAGTACAAATCCAGATTCTTTTAATGATTTGAACAGTTTTTGTCAGTATTTTATTTTTAACACATGTTCAGATTGAGAAGGAAAACTTTGGGTTATGCATTTTTCTCCCTCTTTTCCTTCTCCTCTTAATTACCAACAGTTAACATATCCCCCTCATGCTTGAAACAATGTGTGGTGTTACCAGAAGGACTTTCTGTACTTGTATTCCCATTGCTTCATCTCTTTAACTATTGATGTAGAGAAAGTTGCCTATCAGTATTTTGAGAGTGTCAAGGATATGGTGTACTATGTAGTTTGTAATGTGATCAAACTATAGAAGCTCATAACAGAGGAAGAGAACATTATTCATTAAGTCTACTTATACCTGAAATAATTGATAACATGGTAAACTTATTTTTAAAACTTTCTTAATAATTTACATAGGAATTAACCACTGAAATCAATAAAATGCTAGTATTGGAAGAAAACATTAAGCTCATTTAATTCAACTTTGATCTTTTCTCATTTATCTATAGGGAAACTGTGGCTCAGAGGAGTTTCATAGTGACTGATTTGCCCAACATCATACTGAGCTTCAGATTTTTTGGCCTCCATGTTCATTACTCCTCCCAGTGGATGATGCTTCCACTGATTCTTCTTTTTTTTTTTTTCTGTTTTTTTGAGATGGAGTCTTGCTTTGTCACCCAGGCTGGAGTGCAATGGTGCAATCTTGGCTCACTGCAGCCTCCGCCTCCTGGATTCAAGTAATTCTCCTGCCTCAGCCTCCCGAGTAGCTGGGATTATAGGCGCCCACCACCATGTCCAGCTAATTTTTGTAATTTTAGTAGAGACGGAGTTTCACCAGGTTGGCCAGGCTGGTCTCGAACTCCTGACCTCAGGTGATCCATCTGCGTCGGCCTCCCAAAGTGCTGGGATTATCGGCGTGAGCCACTGTGCCCAGCCCTGATTCTTCTTTTTTCTAAGAGTAATGACATCATGGTTGTTTTTAAAAATTGTGCCTGCTTATCTTTAGATAATCTAAATATTTCAGAAAAGTTTGGGGAAAAAAAATCGCCCAAAATGCATCTATCCATACAAATATCCATGTCCACATTTGGATGGAATGTTCTTCTAGACATCTTTAACATACATACACAGAGATAGAAAAACAAATGTATGAATAGACAGGTAAGAATGAGATCATAGTATGTGTCTTATTTTTATTTTTTAAAATAAAGTATTGAATTTTACTTTTACAAAAGGAGAAAAAAGAATTGCTGAACTTCAAATAGCAATTTTTCTAATATAAGAGATTAACTTGTAAATGTTCTTCTGGGGTAAATAATTGTTACTTTAATTCTTAGGGTTGAAATCCTTGCTTTTCTTTTGACTATAATAATATCATATTTAATATTTAAAAAATTCAAATATATAATTTTTTTAACCTGAGATTCATGATGGACTTTAGAGAGTCTGTAGCACACCCTCCTCTCCAAAACTTTATGAAAAGTCATGTGTGTACAAGAAAAACCTTATTTGACATAATCAGGACTAGTAGTTAACAATTAATCAAAAGTGTTAAAGCAGCGAGTTGTAAAAATATATATAAAAATATATACCCACAATTTTACTTCAAATTAAAACATAAGTGTCTTTCTTCAGCCTGGCCAATATGGTGAAACCCCATCTCTAGTAAAAATACAAAAATTAGCCAGGCCTGGTGGCGGGCGCCTGTAATTCCATCTGCTCGGGAGGCTGAGGCACGAGAATCACATGAACCCAGACAGCAGAGGTTGCAGTGAGCCGAGATTGCGCCATTGCACTCCATCCAGCCTGGGAGACAGATTGAGACTCCATCTCAAAAAAAAAAAAAAAAAAAAAAAAAAAAAGTCTTTCCTTTTCTCTGTTTTGAAGTAGGGCTTTTCTTTGAGTATTGGTCTACCGGTTAAAGATCTATAACATCTTTCCAACGGTAAGCCATGTTTGTAGTATGTCATCTACAATTTCCAGATTAGGTTCCTTTAAAATAGAATGAACAATTAAAAACATTAAAGAAAAAGATGAGTGCAGAATCCTTTTAGATGTTTATTACTTCTCCCAGCTGTTATAATTGTCTTGCTCACCTCTAATTTCATAGCAGTTATTTTTTTAGCCATTCACATCTGTGTCTTTATGAAGCATTTAACTTAATTTTCCTAGAAACAATAATTATTTTTATAATTGTATTTTATCATATTATGTTACATTTAGACTGTTTAATTACAAGTAAAACTGATGTAGCAACTTGGGGAAAAAGGGAACTTACTCTTGATAAGCATACTAATCAACTTCTGAAAGATAGTACCTTAGCATTTTGGAGAGCACCTGATAGGAATGAATGTTCAGCATTCTACAAACATCATTTATAATAAATTTAAAAAACATTTTATTAATCAGTCACGTCTCCTAAAAGGATGTCAGGTGAGAGCTTTTTACTGTATCTGTATTTTTCTGAAGGAAAGGGCTATAGCTTTCAAGAGCTTCTCCAAGGTGTCTATGATATTAAAAAGTTTAAGAAATGATAGTCTAGAAGGTCCTTTGAACAATGAAAGACTCACTCCAGTTATTCATCATTTTGAAAATACTCTTCAAGATGGAATTACTCTTTGCTCTTTATAATTTTCTTCACAATATTTTTATTATTAACTTATGTAATGAGTAACAAGTAGTCTGTCTTTGAAAGCTATAAAATATCTAAGAATAGACTTACCAAATAATGTTTTAATACCTGTTTAAAAGAAAAATAAACTATCAAACTTTACTGAAGGGTATTTTTAAATTTTCACAATATTTAATTGATGAATAAAGATTAAATATATTCAAGGTGTACAACATGATGATTTGACATACATATATAGTGTAATGATTATTACAATCAAATTAACACATCCATCACCACCCATGCAGCACATTATATACCCAGAACTTGTTCATCTTATGACTGAAAGTTTGTTCCCTTTGACCAACATCTCATTTACCTCACTCCTATCCCCTGGCAACCTCCATTCTACTCTCTGCTTCTATTCTGCATATATATCAAAAAAAAAAAAAATGAAATCAGTATCTTGAAGAAATATATGCACCTCCATGTTCATTGCAGCATTATTCACAATAGTCAAGATTAGAAACAACCTAAGTGTCTCTCAGTAGATAAATGGATAAAGATAATTCGGTACATATATACAACGGAGTGCTATTTAGCCATTAAAAATGGAAATTCTGCCATTTGCAACAGCATGGATAACCCAGAGGACATTATACTCAGTGAAATAAGATAGACACAGAAAGACAAATACTGTTTGATCTCACTTATATGTAAAGAATGTTTAACAAAAAATCTTGAATATCTTTGGAGATATATCCTGTTTCTGGATGAAAGACTAAATGTTGAAATATGGCAGGTGTTTCAAAATCTAGAAATTTAATTCAGTTCCTACAAAAGCCCTGGATTTGAATGGAGTGTGACATTCATTCACCTAATATTTGTTGTCTGTCTACTGTGTATTGGTTACTATAGCATACATAATAAAATAGATCAAGAGGACAAAAGAGAATATTCAATCAATTATATTGAATATATCTTTGTACACATGAGGGTAGGGATGGATATGTGGTACAGGTGGCATTTCAAATCAGTGTGTAATGGAAATGATAGATTTTTTTTTTTTTCGAGAAATGTGTTGGGATACTTGGCTGTTTTGAAAATTACTGAGACCTTTACCAACTATCGTGGGAAAACTAATTCTAGGTGGAATAAACATCTAACCATAAACTAGAATACTATAAAAGGTATGAGAAGAAATAAGAGGAATACCTGTTTAATCTTGAGATAGGAAAGGCTTTCTTAAGCAAATTACAATCTAGAAGCCATCAAAGAAGAAGTTGACATATTTGACAACATCAAAATTAATACATTTCTGTAGATTACAATATTACCATGCACAATGTTAATGGATACATGAAAAACTAGGAAAACTATTTGTAACATATGTGACAAAGCACTAATATCCTTCATGTATTAAGAACTCCTATAAATCAATGAGCAAAAGATGAATGTGCCCTCTGGGAAAATGAAAAAATACCTGAACAAGCAGTCTACAAAATAAGAAACAAAAATGGCCTAATGTACATAAGATACTTGATTTCATCAACAAATAAATGCAAATTTGAAAAATCATTTAGATATTGGTTTTTAGCCTTTAAATTTGACAAAGATTTAAAAGACTTATAATATCACTGCTGGTAAATAGGGTAGGAAAACAGATATATACTCTTGGTGGGAATGTAAATTGCTGCAGTATATTGCTGACTTTCTGGAGAGCAACATGGTAATACTGTCAAATTAAAATGTGTGTACTCTTCAGTGCAGAAATTTCAGCTCTAGGAATTTATTTTGAGGAAATACTATAAGGGTTATGGTCCCAGTTGTATGTATAAGGATACTAATTTCATCATTGCTTATACTTGCCATCTACCTACCCACAAAAAGGAAAACAGTCCATATGCTCACCAATAGGGGATTTGTTAAATCATTGTGCCTCAATAGGGAATTTGTTCAACAAATTGTGTTGCATCCATTATAGAATACTAAACTAAGAAGCAAATTTAAAAAGTAGACCTATGGCATATAAAGTAATATAGAACCATGCCTTTGAAATATTGTCAAGCTTTTAAAAAAATAATATCTCAGAATAACATGTTTACTGTGATCCCAAGTATTTGAAAAGGAAAACAAACTAAATACATGTGTAATTTATTTTAAAATTTAATTGAAAAATTAATTGAGATTGTATTATGTAATCTATTCTGTAACTTCTTCAAATTAGTGGTTCATCATGGACTTCCATTCATGCCAGTACATATAGATCTACCTCATCTTTTTTGAAAGATCTATAAATATTAACATTACATTTGTTTTAAAATCTGTGTATGTATAATGTATGTATGAGTAAAAATTCAGGAAGAATATATGTATAACTGTTAACCAAGGTTATATTTGGGGAGGAGGAGGAATTTCTTTATATTAGTTTATTACTTAACTTTTCAAGTATAGAGATATACTTAGTAAAAACAATAAATATTTTTATTTGAGGATGGAAACATAATTTTTAAAAAATTTATGTTTGTAGAAATTGTAATCCTGGAAAACCCCTCAAAACATCTTCAAAACTTGAAAAATCAATGGCTGTTGAAATTACTTTAACTATAATAAACAAAAGGATTGGAGAAGAATAGGAAAAAGAAGAAATCAGAAGTAGATTTTCAAAGAGAAATAGAGATGAATGAAAATAACAGTAACTTTAGGAATTCAGCCAGCATCCCATTCTCTTCTTGAGTGTATTTATCAGTCATTGTTTATTTTACCTTTCTACCACAAAAGAATATTATTCTTTGGAGGAATTAGTTGATGCTTTTTATTTCTTTATGAATGGAGAAAGCACCATCAAATTTTAAGCAAAAGCATTAACTTTGTAGCATGCTAAAAATCTCATTTTCTCAGTCAGCAGTTCATTATCTCGAACTATATTCCCCAAACTTCTGTTAATACAGTTTTCACTTACATCAAATCACCATGTTATATACCTTAAATAGATACAATTTTATATATGTCAGTCTAATCTCACTAAAGCTGAAAAAAATTTTTAAAAAGACATAGTTTCAAATTTATATGTTACAGTGTGAATGCAGATTATACATTATAACCCTTTGCGTGACACAACAATTTTTTCATATAAAATTTTAGAAATGGTGCTTTGTGTTATATGATTTAGAGATTTATATCTTTATTTATTCTGATCTGAGTGTTCACATAAAATACCTGACAAATCTAAAATACATTTTTAATTTTAACTTTTAAAAATATGTTATTTGACTTACTTTTTGTTTTAATTAGGTAACAGGGAAAAAGATATATGCTACAAGCCAGCAAATTTTTGGAGCAGTTAAATCACTGTGGACAAAAAGCAGCAAAGAAGAGTCACTCCCTAAACATAAAGAAAAAACTAAGGTAGAGTTTACATGGAGCAAGGCGGTCAACATTGAGTTTTGTTTGGGTGGGTATTGGCTTGTAATGAGGGTACTGGACAGAGGTCGAGGATAAAATGAGAAAGTAGATGAAGGAATTAGTAAAATGATTTACTTATGAAGGAAAAATCTGTTTGGTAAACAGCTAGGATCCTCTGTCGAAATAGAAGTACCTGCAAAAACAACTGACGTCTTGAAACACTCAGTGCCCTTGCCAACAGAACTCAGCTCTGAAGCGAAGACCAAATCAGAATCCACTTCAGGTTTGTTGGGTATAAGTTAATTTTGTTTTCATTCTTTTCTTAAATAATTTGATTGCATTATCATTAGTGGTTTGAACTAAGATGTGTTCTCCCCATAAATATTTTGTCTTTTTCAATCTGTGGTTTGTGATTCTTTTTAGGTTATGAGGTACTTAGGTACCTGCAATGGCTTTAAATTACCACAGAGTTCATAATATAGATCTTTGTATGTGAGTATATAGAGTAGCACCAACACGTTGATTGGATGAAGCATTTAATATAACTTTATAAATTTGAGCTATTTTATCAGGTGGGGGAAATGGGCCTTTCTAGATTCTGTAATTTTAAAGGGATGAGTCACACCTACATAAAGAAATGTCAGCTTCCATTTTTTGTGCTATTTACCTATCAGTCTCCCTGTCAATCTTAAGACTGTTTTATTTTTATTAAGTTTAGTTTTATTAAGTTTAGGCACCAAAAGAACTTGCAGCATCAAATAGTAGAAATATCATCAATTATAATACTTATAATGTTGCTGGTATTCCATACTGGCAATAAATACTTTGTGAAACCAAACAGTGACAATTATACTTTCTAAACAAATACTGCCATGATTTTACTGTGATCACAAAGAAGGTGACAGAGTGTTTAATACCATTTTGACAATGTATTCTTATAGATTTGCATAGGTTTATCTATATGTACAATGTGAATTGTAAAACCCGTTGTCTTATTGCAAAGGAAAGGTGACTAACTCAGAGGTTGGGGAATAATAATATCCACCCTTTATCAAACACATACTGTGATGCAGAGAGCTAGAAGTATATTATGTTATTCAGCCCTTACCCACAAAACAAAACAAAAACCTCTGCTGGATCGGTAATTATTCCCATTTTATGATGAAGAGACTGAGACTCAGGGAGCTAAAATAACTTGCCCCAAATCATATAGCTTGTGAGTAGCAGAGTTGTGTTTATGGCCTAGATCTTCTTGACATCAGAGTCTAAGCTCTTTCCATTGTGTATAGGTTATCTAATTTAAAACCGGAATTTAGTCTCTAATTTCAGCCCCCTCCTCTCACTTAATCTTCATAAAAACTGTCATTGAATAACAAACCTGATTTGAGTTTTACTATTTTCCTCTGTCCTCTCTCCTAACTAATCAAGACAAGTTTTACAGTTTTTAGACTCTGAATAATCTGCAGGTGACCATATTCTCACAAGAATATAATGTATGGTCATTTTTCCAAATGCCTGTTAATTCCAAAGTATCTTTATGAAGATGAAACATACTACACCTTAACAGTGGGACCAAAACCTTCCAAAGCTAATGTCTTTTTGTTCACACATCTAGATTCTGGAACCCTTTATTTGCCTGTCTTGGGTGACGTGGTATATGAAAAGCGTTCTATCGAGATGATGCAGAGGGAGAAAGAGATGCCAGTGCTACTCATTCTTATCATATATGTCTTGGTCAGTTTGAGCTGCTGTAAAAAATACCATAGACTGGGTGACTTATAAACAACAGATATTTATTTCTTACAGTTCTAGAGACTGAAATTCTGAGATCAGGGTGCCAACATGGTCAGGTTCTGGTGAAGGCCCTTTTCTGGCTTGTAGACAGCCTACTTCTCATTGTGTTCTCACATGGCAGAGAGCAGAGGGAAGCAAGTTCTCTCAAGATTCATAAGGGCACTACTGATCCCATTCACGAACGTTCCACCGTCATCACCTCCTCTAATTCTAATCACTTCCCAAAGCTCCCCACCTCCTAATACCATCACAATGGGGGAGATAGGGTCTCAACATGTGAACTTTTGGGGCATACCAACACCCAGTACATAAAAATATATCATTTGGAGTTTATTATACAGTATAACCTTGGGATTCACCATTTCCACGTTTCATATGTAGAATAAAACAGTTTTTTTTCACCATGGGAAACAGTAGTGATTGTGAGCACAGGTTATAGAATAACACTTGAATCAAAATCCCAGATCCAGCATTTACTAGTTCTGTTACCTGGGACAGGTTATCAAACACTTCAAGCCACAGTCTCCTCATCCAACAAAAAAGGGACAATAACAGTTCTCACATGGTTGTGAGGATTACATGAGATATTGCATGTAAAGCACTAACTACAATGCCAGGGACATACTAAAGCGTATCAGTGGGTATTAAAATATATCATTATTATCATTTGCCTAGAGTAATTAGCCATTTTGATGAGAAACAGATTTTCACTGAGCATACTTAAGGAGCAAGTCACTTACCTAGTGAGCCTAGCCATGGCTACCACTTATCACCATACAGAAGAGATAGGGTGTACTGTCCAACTATATGTTGTGGCTCTGAATATGAGTTTGGTGGTTCTTTACCATCTCATGTACATTAATGGAGAAAATTGTTATTTTGGGAATCACAAATTTAGAAATTTGGTGTCATAGACCTCTTCAAGAATCTGATGAAAGCAGAATGAAATCTCTCACAGTCTTACAAAATTAATGTCCCTCTAAAGCAGAAGTTGAGAAACTATGGCTCGTATGCCAATTCTGACTCGACTCACTATTTTTTTTTAGGTGATAAATATGCAAAACCTATATTCTTTATTTTTTTAAAAAATTCTACTTTAAGTTCTAGGGTACATGTGCACAACGTGCAGGTTTGTTACATAGGTATACATGCGCCATGTTGGTGTGCTGCACCCATTAACTCATCATTTACATTAGGTATTTATCCTAATGCTGTCCCTCCCCCATCTCCCCCACCGCAAAATAGGCCCCTGTGTGTGATGTTCCCCGCGCTGTGTCCAAGTGTTCTCATTATTCAATTCCCACCTGTGAGTGAGAACATGCGGTGTTTGGTTTTCTGTCCTTGTGACAGTCTGCTTAGAATGATGGTTTCCAGCTTCATCCATGTCTCTACAAAGGACATGAACTCATCCTTTTTTATGGCTGCATAGTATTCCATCGTGAGTATTTGCCACATTTTCTTAATCCAGTCTATCATTGATAGACATGTGGGTTGGTTCCATGTTTTTGCTATTGTGAATTGTGCCACAATAAACATATACCCAGTAATGGGATGTCTGGGTCAAATGGTATTTCTAGTTCTGGATCCTTCAGGAATCGCCACACTGTCTTTCACAATGTTTGAACTAGTTTACACTCCCACCAACAGTGTAAAAGTGTTCCTATTTTCCACATCCTTCTACACCTGTGTTTCCTGACTTTTTATGACTCGCATTCTAAACTGTGTGAGATGGTTATCTATGTGGTATTCTGATTTGCATTTCTCTGATGACCCCAGTGATGAGTAGGCATTTTTTCATGTGTCTGTTGAACGGCAGAGATGTCTTCTTTGAGAGTGTCCTGTTCATATCTTCACCAACTTTTTGATGGGGTTGTTTGTTTTTTTCTTGTAAATATGTTTACAGGTTTCTTCGTAATTTCGGATATCTAGCCCCTCGTTGTGCAGAAAATGGGGGTAGACTTGCAATAGATTTATCTGCCCATTCGAGGTTTACCTTGTTTCACGGTTGATGGGTAGTTTCTTTGCTGTGCAGAAACTCGTTATTTGAACCTAGATTCCCATTTGTCTATTTTGTTTTTGTTGCCATTGCTTTTGGGGTTTTAGTCATGAAGTCCTTTCCCATGCCTATGCCTGAATGGTATTGCCTTAGGTTTATCTCCCTAGAGTGTAAAAGGGTTTTAGGTCTAACATTTAATGTTAAATCCATCCTGAATTAATTTTTGTATAAAGGTGTAACGGAACGGAAACCAGTTTCAGCTTTCTACGATATGGCCAGCCATATTTCCGAGCACCATTCTATTAAAAAGGGAATCCTTCCCCATTTCTTTGTTTTGGTCAGGTTGTCAAAGGTCAGATGGTTGTAACTGTGTGGGTTCTTTCTGAGGCCTCTGTTCGTTCCATGTGATCCATATCTCTGTTTTGTAATAGTAACATCATGCTGTCTTGCGTTACTGTACCTTGTAGTATAGTTTTGAAGTCTCAAGGTAGCATGATGCCCCCCAGGCTTTGTCGTTTGGCTTAGGATTGGTCTTGGCAATGGCGGCGCCTCTGTGTTCTTGGTTGCCATATGAACTTGTAAAAGTAGTTTTTTCCAAGTTCTGGTGAAAGAAAAGTCATTGGTAGTTGATGGGGAAGGTCATTGAATCTGTAAATTACCTTGGCGTATGGCCTTTTCATGATATTGATTCTTCCTGTCCGTGAACATGGAATATTTTCCAATTTGTTTGGTCCTCTTTTGTTTCGAGGGGTGAGCAGTGTTTGTAGCTTCTCCTTGAAGAGGTCCTTCCACCATCCCTTGTAAGGTTGGATTCCCTAAGGTATTTTTATTCTCTTTGTAGCAATTGTGGAAGGGAGTTCCACTGATGTTTTGGTGCTGTCTGATTGTCTGTTATTTGTGTATAGGATGCTTGTGATTTTTGCACATTTATTTTGTTCCTGAGAAATTTGCTGAAGTTGGCTATCCAGCTTACAGGAGATTTGGGGCTGAGATGATTGGGTGTTTTTAAAATATACAATCCATCGTCATCTGCAACAGGGACAATTTGATTTCCTCTGTTCCCTAGTTTGATACCCTTTATTTCTTTCTCCCTTGCCTGATTGCCCTGGCCAGAACTTCCAACACTATGTTGAATGATGGTCGAGAGAGGGCATCCCTGTTTGCTGCCAGTTCTCAAAGAGGGAATGCTTCCAGTTTTTGCACATTACGTATGTATTAGGCTGTGGGTTTGTCATGAAATAGCTCTTAGTTATTTGTGAGATACGGTTCCATCAGTACCTAGTTTATTGAGAGTTTTTAGCATGAAGGGCTGTGTGAATTTTGTCAAGGTCTTTTCTGCCATCTATTGAGAATAATCATGTGATTCGTGTTTTTCGTCATTGGTTCTGTTTATGGTGATGGATTACGATTTATTGATTCGATGTATGGTGAACCAGCCTTGCATCCCATGGATGAAGCCTACTTGTCATGTGGGGATAAGCTTTTGATTGCTG